CCGTATTCAGGAGCAGATATGACATCCCAGCGAGGATCCAGCGTGCCGGCCGGTCGGTGGGAGCAGGGCCGCGGACGGAGTCCTGCACCGACGCCGACACGTGCGCTGCAGAGCCGAGCCTCGGGCCAGTCAGTGCCCTTCCCAGTGAGCGGGGCCCCTAAGTCCTACCTGGGAGCCTCCGAGGCCCCACTGGCGGCCGGGGCCTGCGTGCACCTGCTGGGCCTCCGGGAAGCACGAAGCGGCCAGTTCGGAGGCCGACGGGCCTCCTCGGGCTAAGTGGGGAGTGGACCTCCCGGGCAGCCCAGGGACGTTCGCATGGCCCCGGCCCTGGCAGAGCACAGCGGCCGCGCGGCCACGAGGGGTTTATCCGGTCCTCCCCACCTAACCAACTGAGAGCACACAGCCAGGCGGCCTGTTTCAGTTTCAAATCCTCCCACACGCCCTGCGGTAAAGGGGTCCTGGAGAGGGGACTCTTCTGGGAACATTCTTGGGGAACCCTCAAAATCGTTAGACGTATTTCCTTTTAAAGAATTCTGAATTCAAATACAGGATTTTTTTTAATGAAAAAAATATTTAAACATTTTTTAAAAATGTCCACGACTATTTTTCCTGTAAAAACAGTTGCTGAAATATTTAGAAAGCACAGTAATCCACCGTCACGAGGCTTCCTCCTGATATCTGAAGAGCCGTGCCATCTCCGGGGGAAGCACCCGGGAAGCGAGATGCTCACTGCCCCGCCACAGCCCCGAGGACGCTCGGTGCCTCTGCGCCACCCGGCTTTTGTCACAGCGACACAGTGGCCGCTTTTGTGTTTCAGATCAAGCATCTATGCAAGGTGGAGGCGATGATGAAATGGGGGCGCCCGGGGGCTCGGATCGCGAAGAGCTCATGGGTCACGTTCCCGGCGACACGATCATTGCACCAGGACACTATGGTCTGTTATGAAAATAAATCTGTAATAAAAGGGAGTGCTTGGGGCCGCAGGTGCATCGTGTCAGGTGCACGTCGCCTTAAGCGCCTGCGCAGAACCCAGCGGCAGCCTCAGAGGAGCTGTCAGCCCGGTGCACCCGCAGCGCCCGCACCCTCTTCCCGGCCAGCGCCACCCCCCACCCCACCCCCGGTCATGCCGGCCGTGTTACTCTGCAGGGAGGGGTCGGTCGCTGACATACGGGAAACCCGGCTCAGCAACGGCCCCGGGCTCCGGTCCGAGGACCTGGGTTCGGGGCCTGCCCGTACCTCTGGCAGATGTGGGCGTCCAGCAGACCGAGGCCTTGGAGGATCCATTTCTAAGAGGCGCACAAAAGTAAGAGGAGGCTCTTCCCAGGGCCCCGAGCTACCCGGACGGTAGGGACGCGTGCAGGGAGGCTGGGGCACTAGAGGAGCACGAGCCCACGCGCACCCACTTCAGACACACAGGACGCTCCCTGAGCCATGCATTTGCTTCCTGTTGACATTTTCTGGTCCACTCCTGTGTGTACATGAGTCACGGACCGAAACATTTAAATTTGAACGTTTCCTTCAGTAATGGCCGATTACGAAAGTCCTTGGAAGTTAGCGGAAACGGTCTTCCCGACCGTCGTCTGAGGCTTTACTAATTTGCTCGAAACACCGCATGACCGTTTATTATCTCCGAGCTATCTTTTAGGGAAGGATGCTTGATTCAGGTATTCGATCACATTGTAGGAGCTTGGGATCTTTTAAACTTAATTACTTAGTCTTTTAGAACCAAGAATTTAACGTGAAGTTAACACTGTCCTGGTTTCAGAGCCGTCAGCACCGTCAGTCCTATATTCCAGAGTATTCTCCATGGGGCAAGGTGCTCAGCTCCAGGACAGCCTCGCAGCACAAACTGCACACGGGAGCATCTGTGTCGTCAGGGGAGGCAAAGAGGGAAAATGGGCAGAAAAGAGAAGCACGCCTGTCCAATCGGTTATACCCCGAGCTAAGTGTCAGTCACTGCCAGTGTTTCGTCTTCTCAGAGACTCAGAAAGTTTGTGCTGCTATGTAAAAAAAAAATATATATATATATATATATATAAAATAAAACAATTTATAAAAATAATCAAAAAGTCCCTATAATGAGAAAGTCCCAATAATGGATCTCCAGACCACAGACTGAGGGTTTCTCACATTTCCGCAGAAACAGAGGGAGCCAGAGGCCTTGAGCCACACCGGGCACCATGGACGCACTCAGGATGACGGCCGTGGGGAGCCCCGGGGAGCAGGTGAGGGGGTGGGGAGGGGGCACGGCATACACAGAGGGGCCCCCAACGTGTCAGTAGGACACTGGACTCTCTCAACTGCCCCTTGGGACAATACAGGGGAAGTGAGAGTTCCGGAAACAGTAGAGGAACGCCCCTCTTGACGAGGAATCCGGCCACCTGACGTTCCAGAAGGCAAGCACGTGCTCCTGGCCAACTCTGGCACAACCAGGGGTAGAGGAATAAGAGCTCATCGGTCAGGAATTACTCCAGTTGGAAATAGTCCGTGTGCAAACAGGAAGTGGAGACGAGGGTGACATGGGATGGAAAGTGGAAGCTCAGCCTGGCATGTTTTCTATGAAGCAGCCGTGGAAGGGTCACGTCGAGCTTAATTACCTCCAGGCTTTGGGTGGTGTCGGGGCTGGGGTGTAGACAGGTACACAGAGGGATGGGCTGGGATGAGGCTGGGTGTGGACAGACACATGGAGAGATGGGGGTGGGGCTGGGCCTGGGTGTGGACAGACACAGGGAGGGATGGGGCTGGGACTGGGGTGTGGATAGACACACAGAGGGATGGGGCTGGGGTGTGGACAGACACACGGAGGGATGGGGCTGGGACTGGGGTGTGGACACACACCCAGAGGGATGGGGAAACACACAACTCAATGATTTCTTCTCTTGGCCCCAAACCCTAATAAGCAGCACAGTTTGTCAGAGACGCCACAGGAACAGCAGGATCAGAGGGACACGCCAGGCGGGCCTGGAACGTCCCCTTAGTTATAATAAACTTAAGAGAGTTTATTGTAAAGAGTTTTCTCAGGTGTTCATGGTCCTCAGCTCTAAGGTGAGTAGTGTAGGTAGGAAGCAGGGATGAAAGCATCCAAGGGATAAAAGCAAACTAGGACACACGGAGGGAGAAGTCACCTAGAAGAAAGGAGGGCGTGACAGTGTACATCTTATCTGAAAGCGGAGAGAACCTAAGAATTCTTTGAGGCTCTTTTCAGAGTGAAATACTGAAAACTGGAATTCTAGCAATGAAAAATTATAATTTACTAATTGATTTTACGATGCCACTGCTACTAATGTGTTTTGCATTAGTTACAATTAGTTATAACAGAACTAATACATTTGCTGCATACTGAATCTTGTAAATTATTTTCATGAAAATGAAAAATAGGTTTCCTTTTTTTTTTTTTTTTTTACTTATTTATTTATGAGAAACCCAGAGAGAGACCCAGGCAGAGGGAGAAGCAGGCGCATGTGGGGAGCCCGATGCAGGACTCAATCCCAGGACCCCGGGGTCACACCCTGGGCCGAAAGCAAATGCTCAACCACAGACCCCCCCCAGGTGTCCCCAAAATAGGTTTTTGCATGATGTCAGCTACTGTACTTCTATTTTTGCCCAAGGTCTTAGAGCCTTTCACCTGTAATTTGGCCCACCAAGGGGGATTTGAGGCAATTAATCTTCCTTTGATGCACCTGGATTCACTCAGTGTCTGGGATAATTATGATCATTTCCAGGCTTTCATTTGCTTATCTCTCAAAGAAATCAATCTTGAGGATCACTAATATGCTTTCATGTTAGAAAAAAAAATCCAGAATTTTATGTGTTTTGTCATGGTATCTGGTGTTATACATATTTTTAAACATTAGATAGTACAGGATTGGACAGTCTTGTACAAGTTTATGCATTTTAGTTCATTGATTTCTTCATTTTAATTAGTTACTGTGCCAGGTAGCTTTTCTTTACCTGTTTGGAACTAAAAAAATGTTGGAAATGGCACTGATCATATCCCACGTTTCTCTTTTTCAAAGCACAGTCTCTTTCTCCCCTCGTTTTGTATCTTTCTTTGTCTTCTTCACATTCATCTCTAAAAAAATATTTTTTCTACATTGATTTATATTACTAAGGGGCGGGGGGGGGCTACAGGACCCTGCTTATAACTGTGGGTCTGTAAAAACAAAACAAAACAAAACAAAAAACTGTGGGTCTGTGATCACAGCCTGGCTCCAGCAGCTCACACACCTGCTACCTTTGGCAGGTACGGAATTATTTGTGTTTAGGACATTCCTGGTGCTAAGAAGGAGCCTAGTACACGGGGTGTTTGATATTATGACATAATAGGTATATGTGACTATTCTACACATGCAACTTATGTTCTATGATATACAGATTCTAAAATATCTGTATCTATAGATATAATAGTAAGGTATCGATGCAGGGTAGGCATTCAAAGACTATTCCTCTTATTACATCACATTCATTTTAAGTCTTTCATATACACATATCCGAGTCTCTGTCAACGTGCACCAAATCATCATCGGTATTTTTTACGCCCAGAAGCCCTTAAATGCCATGATATTTTCTTTTCAGGTACAGCCATTATCTTATGAAAATATTAATACTTCCTCCAGGAAAATAAATTTCAAGCTATCACTTCTGGCAACACGACTAAATTAAGAATGTAACAGCAATCCAAAACACAGTAGAGAGACCAGAAAGGGGAAAAAAATCAATATTTAAAATTCATCAGCTACGTGGAAAAAAGAAGAAGAAGAAAGAAGAAGAAGAAGAAGAAGAAGAAGAAGAAGAAGAAGAAGAAGGAGAAGGAGAAGGAGAAGGAGAAGGAGAAGGAGAAGGAGAAGGAGAAGGAGAAGGAGAAGGAGAAGGAGAAGGAGAAGGAGAAGGAGAAGAAGAAGAAGAAGAAGAAGAAGAAGAAGAAGAAGAAGAAGAAAAGAACTAACAGACGCATCCCGAGAAAATTTTAAAAATGAAACGCCACGGCGTATGCTACTTACTAGTATAGGTGAGCTGGAAGCCCTGGTCGGTGTCAGACCCGTTGGTGTTGAACTCGAGCCACAGGTGATTGGAGGTGCTGTTTAGGACCAGACCCATCAGCTCATTCTTGGTGAAGGCCCCCAACGGACGCGAAGAGCTGTCCCTTCCATCGTACACCTGAGGACAAGTCACAGCGTCAGTCTCCCTGCTACTTAATTCCGTTTGTATTCTGTGAGCAATTTTCACAAGGAATTCAAATCCTCAAAGATGTGACCGTGTGGCCTACTTGGAAAGCATGTGCCGCCCCGTGAGGGCTGAATGCACGGCGTGGCTGAGCAGGTGTTCCCTCCACCGTCCAGGTTCAAGACTAAAGATCTCCTCTGCGGTCGGGTCGCCCTACGCTCAGCGCGTTGAGCGTTCTTCCCGTGGTCACTTAGACTTAAACAAATATGTATTTGCATTTCTGAGTTTCAGTATTCACCTTTGTCTCCCTCGCTCAGAATTCACTTGCTGGAGTTGAAGGGACGTGTCCTGTCTTGGCCGTGACGTCGTCTGGAACTATCGTGCAAGTAAGCGGACATCTCATCCCTCCCCCGCTCCCTCCTCTCTGACTATATCACAAGACAAGACAGGATGTGGAAATATCTTGTCGCATTTTGCAGCTCTTTGCGCCTGAGGTGACTTTAGTCTTGAGTTGGTCGTAATAAGAGAGTCCCATCATGTAAGAATGTCGGAGGCAGGCATTGTCTTGCTCTAAACACGCTGTACTTGACTTTACCTGCCTAGGTGGCTGTAGAGCACGGGGGTCTATAACAAATATTTGGAAGGCAGGCAGGCAGGCAGGCAGGCTGCTTTTGTGCAGGCACAAGGGGTAAGGGGGGGCGTTCGGGGCTGTGTCCCCGGGTTTCACCGAGGCAGACCACCCCGGCCTGGGTGAGTGCCAATCCCACTTCCTCAGTGGGGACTGTGGCCCAGGTCAGCGCATGGGCGTGTGGGATGGCATACGGGATGCTTTCCTGTTTCCGCCCGGAGAGACTGTGTTTGCCTTCAGGGAGGATTCAGTGCCGGGGCTGCTGGACACTCATCAAGGACAGGATGCGCAGGGGGGATGGCTAATCCATTTGCCTCTTTGAACTACTGCAATGGCTCATGGAGGGACCACATGGGTCTGTAAGAGATTCGTGGACGACAGGGCAGGGTGAACATGCGTTATTTTGGAAAACATCCAGATGTTCTTGATTAAAAAAAAAAATCTTAACTAAATAAAGGGCACCTAAGTCCTCAGTAGTCTCCTCCAATGTCTGCTTATTTCCCCACTATTTTCCTTCTCATGTGGATTGATTCTTACTTTTCTTCTCTCGCCTCTCTTCTAATAAATGTATAGACCATATACCTGCTTCAACAGACTTGCACACACACACACACACACACACACAATCCTAAAAGATGAAAACATATTTAGAAAAATCAATTTCACAGATCATTATTTTATTTACTTCCAATCAGAACCTATGCTGGTAGAGTGGAATCAAATGATCTGCAATTCCTCCAGCAACTGGGGACTGCTGGAAAAAATCATCACTTGGCTTAATACGTGGATTCGTCAGACGTGGTGAGGTCCGTGACACCCAGACTGTGATGAATTGTAAACCCAGAGGAATCTGGCTCAAAAAGGGAAATCTCCAGGCCCTCCCAGAAAGGTCTTGTTTCACTCCGTTATACCACGCGATTCTCAGTAAGTCACGGAAACCCAAGGACTGGAGGAGCATGCAAGCAAGTAAGCACTCATGTGAGCTCAGTCCTTGGAGTTCTGCAGAAGTGTCCGTCCTCACCTCCGCGGGCCTGGACTGGGAGATTCCCACAGATTAGAAGGATCACCGGGACAGCATCCAGCTCCCAGTACCCTCCAGGCCACAACCGCTGAAAATGCGTCCTTGCTCTACTGCATTCGGGGCTTCTCCCAGCCAGTAACTCAGCCGTGTCCGTCTGCATCACCAGCAATGAGCACGGCGATGGAGAAGTCACCCACCACATGGAGCATCCTTTTGTCAGCTCCCTCAAATTGAAAATGTGGCTTCCAGTTTTGCAGGGATTACCAGTGACAACCCAATGGTACTGCACGTCAAGAAGACTTGATTTTTAATTGCAGTTACATCAGGAACAAGCCACGCTAGCTCAGCACACCCCCTGGCACCTAGGTGCCTGCATCTAGGTGCTGCTGGAATCAGTGTTCCATTTAGGTGGGAGAAAAATGCTCCTTGAGTCGAGGTTAATAGGACGCTCTAAGTATTTACATCACAAACGCTTAGGGTTTGGCATTTAATCAGTGCTACAGGCTCAGGCTGGAAGAGCCTCCTTAGCAGATGATCACACATCAGGGGACCTCACGCGGAGTCCTGGGGCGACGCGGCTGCAGGTCCTGGAGGAGTTCTTCACCGTTTGAAAGAATCTACACCCCAGATATTCAAAATCAACTGCTCTTTCCATTACATATTCCTTTCATGACATTTTCATTCAAGCTATCTTTCTCTTACGTGATTTTTTTTTCCCATATGAAGAAGACATCGTGTTTTTGTGCATGAAAATATGTCTATAAAACTTTGGTCTTTCTTACTGGACCATACTACGTGCAAAGGAGCAATGGGAATAGCATGTAGAGCTAAAATATAAGGTACCCCCCCCTGAAATGTTTTGAACACTGAGATGAGATATTTATTAGTATATTCAATAAAACGTATCCTTGCAAAACACGTAGGCATTTCAGATGATTGGCAGTTTCCCTGCAATTAAATGGAGTAAGCAAGGTTTTTTGTTTCTGCTTTTTGTTATAATCAACATCTTTAAACTGCAGTAATCACGGATGAACGTCATTCGCTTCCTTCCACGGCGATGATATTTACCAGCATACGTTGCTGCGGTGTCTCTAATCGCTCACCTGCACCAAGGAGACCTAATTGTTACCTAAAAGTTTTCTCCAAAGGCTTACTGACTTCTAAATTTGAGGTTATCAAAGAGCTTGGAAAATGCTTACTTACAAGGCGAGTTTATTTTTTTTTATTTTTTATTTTTTGACAAGTGAGAATGTACTAGTTTCCTGCCTGAAAATCACTTCTTAATTACAGAGCCTCGTGATGTCAGCATGAGCTTTGGAAAGACAATTATGATAAAAGAATGACTAGAATAAAGCTACTCTTCTCAACAATGACATTGACATAGCCGAGCCGGGACGCAGGAGGGAGTAAGGCCCTCTAGGTTTCCAGCACCTCTTGAGCGTACCCGTGCAGCTAACGAGGGCAGGTGGGGTCCTGGAGGGACCCCTCTTTAACCACTGTGCAAATGGGTGACAAACGGAGGGTACTGGTGTTTCCCTTTTGGCTGGTTCTTTGCATCTTTCCTATGCTCGCCGCTTACCGTGGGTGGACTCAACCAAATCTGATATGTGTCGGCAAGTGGGCCCATGTAGGGGTGAACATGACTGGGAAACCCTAGACCTTCACAAAGGAGTGAGAAGAGAGACGTGCCTCTCTCCTGCCACAAACTGGCTGTGTGACCTGGACCAGGAGCTCCCTCCTCACTGGGCCGAGCAGGGCGGCGTTAGTCCGGTGCCCTCCGTGCATGCCCTCGCTCTACAAATGCACCCTCGCTGCCCCCTGACCCTACAAGGGCTCTGGTTTTCTCAAAGAGTTATCGGAGAGGTGGGAACTATACCAGAAGCTTTAGGAGCTATGGGGGCATTTCCAGGTAAAGCTGGAATTTATAGATCAAGACCTCAATGTCCCTGCATCCAGTCCTCCTGCCCTTTTTCCTGGGGTCCATCTATAATGTGGGGGGCTTGCCGGGTCCTCCTCCGCAGAGCACTTCCCTGAGGCTCTGGTAACTTGTACCATATAATGCACAGAGCTCTTGCTTCTGGTCCCATTCCAAGCACATCCCTGAGTCCTGTGAACACTGTGTAGACTCGTCCACTAAAAATCTGTCATCCTGGTGTGACTTCTCCATATGAACCCTGCCTTGTGGTCTGGGGATAGTGGCTGAGCTCCCTTCCACTGTCACATCAAAATCCTTGTAGCCTTAGATATTGTGACCACATGAGGATATTGTGACATACCCTCCACTCATCCATTTTCAACCCGACACGTGGAAAGGGGACCTAAAGGGAGCTGACTATAGAAAGTGTTGATTCGGGGGCCCCACCAGTGCTCGTAATTATGACTCTGTGCTAGGCACGACCCTAGACACGTCTATCAACAGAAGGTGCATAATCTAAACCTCAGAACATCCTCCAAAGATAGGCATCATCACATGTTTTTACAAATAAGGAAGAGAAAGCCCAAATATTAAATGATGTGTCGAAGATACACAACAAGCAAACATTAGACCCGGGATTGCAGACTCGGACAGATCAAGACCACACCGGTGACACTCAGCATTTCACAAACCAACTGGACAGACTGGAAAAACTCTGTCCAAAGGTGCATGAACATGCGTACACGTCTCTGTGTGTATAGCTGGGCAGGTGTTCCTGGAAAAGAAGAGATGGCGTCACATTCAAGAATATTTTTTACCTTTAGGACGTCTCCTTCAAACAGCTGGAAGCTTCGCGCCCTGAGATGGATCCCCTTGCCAGCTTCCGTTTCTATTTTATAGATACACTCATGGTTATTGTCATAATTTGATGGGAAATTTGGAGACAGCAACGTTCCTTCATTTCCTTTGACACTTGCTCCACATTCAGCTAAAATAAATAGGACATTAAAAAAGAGAGAATTCAAAAATGGAATTACTGATCTTAATACATAAAACCCCTATAATCGTGACACTCCTTTCCTCCCTCAATGTATGTTTGTAATTAATATATCGCTTTTATAGATTCGTGATTCTTTTTTTTTTTTTTTTTTTTTTTACTTTTTTACTGTTTACCAACTGATCGGGACATATCCTCCACTCATCCATTTTCAAGATTTCTTGTTTACTTTCATAGAATACCTCTTACTCCATGGAAGCAGCGTGCTGTCCCACAGAGATCTTGAATAAAACTGCTGTGCCCTGAGCTCCTTGGCAGTTACGCGCTTCCCTCCCCATGACTCATTTCTACCTTGTGAAACATCCCCACCAACTCCAGGGTGATGAAGGAATTTCCTTCAACTCGTACTTTGTGGCATCAACCCGACGCGTGGAAAGGGGACCTAAAGGGAACTGCCCTCTGCAGTCCTCCTGCCTCAGGGCCCTGGGCCTGTCTGCATTAGGTCTCAGGGCCAAGGAGCACTCGGTGGAGGGGAGTGTCGGCTCCTTCCCACCTTCCCCCAGGAAAGCAGCCGGTCATTCATGGCTGGATCCGAATTTGCATGAAAACACCCTTAATCATGGTAAAAAATAAAAATACTGCTGTCTACATTGTCAACTCAGAGCAAGTCACTCAACCTCCTAGCTCACCTGCAAGGTGAACGCTTCAGCTGAAAGACCCCAGCCTTGAAATCCAATCAGTCCCAAGTGGTCATCAAAGGCTAGACACACCGTGCGCGTGCGTGTGCATGTGCGTGCGTGAGGCAGAAGAACTCCATGGGACTCTGCACCAAATAATTTATTGGCCACATTATGTGCCAAGTGCGTGATTTGTAGAAATTCAACAAAATGAGTATGAGTATGGGCACGCCGGGAAGTGGAGTCCGTGAGGTGCACATACGTAGGGGGGTGAGGAGGGGAGCGAGAGGGGCTCACGTTAATTTTGTGGGTGTTCTGTACCGTGGCAGGCATCTGCACACGTGCATTTTTATGACTGATTTTCTCTTACGTGTCCATTCTCCTCCGACAATGAATAAAATCAGCTCCACCTCCAGCCGTGATTCCCTTGCCTACTTGCCGGAAGGAAAGTGCTAGAGAGTTTTAAGATCAGCTCCTGCTGGTTTGTGCACTTGGATGTCACGATGGTCCCCACGTAGAAGAGCTGGGAGGAAATCAGGGAGGAAGACACGGGAGGATCTGGGCTCACCTACCCCTTGTCTCTCCACAGGTGAAGACGGGAAGGCAGGCTTGCTGGGCAGTGGGGAGGAAGTGCAGAGAAACAAGCGCTGCGAGCGGGTGACCCGACAAAATGCCAATGGGCTTTCATATTTTTTTAAACTATAGACATATTTATATTATTTATATTTATATATGTGATGATATACATGTTTGATTACCATAGTCTTTTAAACTATTTTTTAAGAGAAGAAAAAAATATGGGGAGAAAGGCAAGGGAATGATCTCCCATGCTGGATGTCTGGGTGGTCTTTGAACAGCGGACAGTCTTGTTTTTTTGTGTTTCATGTTCTGTAAGCAGGCTCCATGCCCGGTGTGGAGAGCAATACGGGGCTTGAGCTCACAACCGTGAGCTCAAGACCAGAGCCAAGATCAAGAGTGAAACGCTTCACCTACTGAGCCACCCAGGCGCCCTGAGGACACATGACTTTACTTGCTAAACTCAACAAGCGTTTTAGGTAAGTGATCCCCTTGGGAAATGGTAATAATCCATGGTTGTTGTTGTATATTTTTTGCCTTTTTTATTTCTTTCTTAAAGGAATAGGATTTTTTCTCTAATAGAAAAAACAAAATAAGTGGAAGGAACATCAAAACAGCAAAGTAGAGGACCCCCCCACCTTGGTTATTGTGTGGATGGGATGGGGGGGTGGAGTTCAAACTGGTTAAAGATTTCAGACTGAAAACCAACTTAAAAAAGAAACTCAAGTGAATTATGATAATAATTGGAATATAAAACCTAGTCACAAATATCAGGAATTTTAACTTAGGATTGAATTTGACAGTGATCAATAAAATGAACCATGCAAAAATCAAATTTAAGTCCTTTTATCCATTACCTTTTAAGTTTGAAAAAAAAAAAAGCCTTGCACTAGAAGATGTAAAAAATACTGAGATAGTGGCAAATAGATTATGTTTAGTCTAAGAAAACATTTGAGAAATTATTTATATGGCTATGATGAGTGGTTGTGTGTATTTGGGTTTATCCTACATTCGAATATATCACGTCCGTTAGCTGACTATGTGCCTTGCACGTCCACCATAAATGCAGGCGGTCCTGAGTCAAACCTCCCGAGAGGTGGGCTGGAGGTGAAGGGGTTAATGAGGGTCCCGGCCCCCGTCTGGTCACCATCTGGTCATCAGGAGAGGCCGTGGTCTTCCTTCCTGACTGAATGAGGTCAGGAGGATGGAGGGAGGGTTGGGAGGCATAAGGGCAATTAATTGAACACAGTGGTGAGTCTTGAACCCAACGCGTGTAGTAAAAGCTTTGCCATTGTCAGGAATCTATGGAGAGACGCCGGAGAAGCTGCAGGGTGAGTCCGGGGGCTCCACGAGGAGAGCCAGGCCACGAGGATGAGCTCCGCTGGGTTTCACCTCCCCCTTCCCAAGGGCAGGGATGCTCAGGCATCCCCGGGCACCCTCTGTGTCTGGGGCTCTGCACCTGTGGGGAGCGGCTCATCTCCTCTTGTTCTCACGGAGGTTGGAATTCCTCTCTTTGGTCTTCACGTCACTACGTTTCTACTCTTTTCTTCCCCTCCACGATTTGCCACACACAGAATCATCCAGACTCGGTTACAGGTATCATCGCTCGAAGGTGACAATCTATCCTGACAAGGCTGATGCATAAACTGTGACCATCGTATCGTGTCCCATACACTGTGGTGAGCTCTTCACACACGGGGACTCATGCAATCCTCACGGTAACCTTGTCTAATAGGTTCATCGGCCACGTTTTACAGGCGAGGAAACTGAAACAGAATAGTCTGGAAACCAAGTGCTTTTGCCACGGTCACGCAGCTAGTACAGATCAATTACTGATCTGATCTGAGCCCTCCATACTCAGGAGTGGACCTGTGCCCTTTGCTCATCCTCACTACCGATGAAAACATATCGTGGTTAATAATCCGTAGGATTATTAATTATGAACAATGATGAACCTAAGATAGTATGGGTTTGCTATTATAGATGGAAAAATACTTTAAAGGACTTTTACTTGGAATGGGGTCATCAATTACATGGAGATATTTGTTTTCATCTTAGCATGTAAGACATAACCATATTCTTATTTCTCATAATGGAACAAAAAGGGAGGACTAGAATGAAGATTTGGATGTTTGGATACACGAGAAGGAAAAAAAAAATACTCTTAAACCTAAAGATGCAATTTTACCTATCTTTAAGGAAGCTCCATGCCCAGCATGGAGCCCAGGGTGGGGCTCAAACTCAGGACCCTGAGATCAAGAGTCAGACACTCAACCAACTGAGCCACCCAGGTGCCCTGTTACATATCTTTTTATTAGGATTTGGATCTTGGGATTTTGCTTTAAGGCAGATATGTAAGTGGTGCTCATGAAGTGCACTGTTTAGAAATAATAAATGCGAGCAATTGCTTGGCCTTTTGTAACCGGTAACGCTTTGTAGACAAGCAAGTTCATTGCTTCAGCTTCCAGCAAGATGACACGGACGCGGCCGACCACCTCACTCCTGCATTTCACTTCATCCACACCCCTTCCAAATAAAATTGCACTCGTGTCAGAACAACTGCTTCCCATCCTGAGACACAAGTAAAACACCTAACTAAATATTCAACAAAAATTCATTTATTTAATAGATCTCTAGCACTCAGTCTAAAGAAACGTGGCCGACTCATCACATGTGCAAGGACAGGCTTTCGTTTTTCCGGAGTAGTTTGGTGTAGCACTTAAAGATGGCCTTGAATATGAAGTTTTCTCCAAAAGTATGGAATTGCCAGTAAAGTACACAAAATTGGTATCAATATTTTTAAAAAATCTACTTCAATACAATGTTTTACCTTATGTATTTGCATACTATGCACTATTTTCTATGGATTTGTGTTACTTTATAGTCTTCAAAGACTTTGAAGCTGATTATCACAAAATTATTTTCTTTCCTCTTCAAATCATGACTTTCACATCTTTCCTCAAGTTTAAAGGGTCCTGTATGTTTGGGCTGACCCTACTGCAGTGAACACGTGTCGTTCTTGCTGTTGTTTTCTGACTTTGTGTCAAGACCAATACGAAAATATGACATCAGGAAGGTGGGACGTGATGTGCCGCTCTATCTGGAGAGCCTGGGTCCGTCACTAGGCTCCGTGCCGTAGCTGCGTTGGCAACAGCAAGGTCTGGTGAGAGACACAGTTAGGGGACGCAGCGCTAGGACATGCGGACACTCTGGGTGTGGGACCCACAGGCTGTTACGGGGCTCAGCGGAGAGCACTGCGGGGAATCTGGCTGCGAACAGACTTGGCCAAAGGTGGGGAAGGTGGGGGCTTCACTGGGCCAAGGTGTGAGGTCCCTAAGGGTCTGGAGCACGCAGGTGTCCTGACAAAGGGTGTTTGCAGAAGAGGAAATGAATGGCCTAAGAGAAAGCAATGAATCTTGGAGACTCTTTTTTTTTTTTTTTTTTTGAATCTTGGAGATTCTAAAAGAAAACAGGGTGCAATAGCATAAAGGTGGATTTGTACAGCAAGTTCTAGAATTCCTGGAAATTACAAGTAAGTAATGGCAGAGCAATTAAGACATAGTGACACCCTTGCCACTAACCCCCTCCCCGCCCCCAGACACCAACCCATGGGAATTAATTAAAGAAAATCAGACAGGAACAGTAAAAGCCAGCATTCAAAAACTACGAAATTTAAGTCGTCGGAATTCCAAAAAATTCTTTGAACTTGACTGAAAATATCTGTGATAAATCTCCATT